AAGATACTTAGGTTTGCTCCTATTATTATTAGAATTTAATAATTAATAGATATAATTGATAATATAATAAATACTTCCGTATCATGCGACCAGAACTCCCACCAATGGCAGGCAGTATCACCTGACTCTGTCTGTATCACATGACCAGTATACTGCACTGCCATTGGAGGAGTTCTGGTCATGTGACATGGATGCATAAACAATACTATCAATTATATGTTTTATAAATCAAATAATAATAGATGCAAACCTAAGTTCCTTAGGCTCCTCTTGGATATTGTCATTTTCAGATTGGATGTTTATTTGCTGAATATGATTAGTTTAAACCTACTCTTTTTATACAAAATTTTTTATACATAGATTTTCGTATAAATTTGACACAGTTTTATATCTATTTCTTGAAACAGGAACATCAGATAGAACTCTCATGGGTCTCGATCAACTCCTAAAATACTTAGGTTTCATCCTATACCCCCTTTCATTTTTCCTTTACAGTCCCTTTAATTATAAGAGACAGATGGCAAAACTAGCATAGGAGCAACAATGTCGGCTCAAATAAAGATCACACATTGTCAATATTTAGGATATGTTACACCTATGAATGCTTACCTGACTGGCTTGAGGGCTTCTGAAGGTTTGAGTCCCTCCACTGTACTGCTCGCTGTGCATGCAGGAGTTGCAAGCTTAATAATGTTCCTTTCCAACATGTACATAAACTACTATCTAGACAAACACCACAGTGCTGAGCTCACAAGGGCGGAAAGAAATAATCCATCAAAGAAAGTTTTCAATCTAAAGAGCCTATCAATTACAGTAGCTATGTTATTCACAGCTCTCCTTGTCCTAATCTTCTTTCAGCAGAGGGAACAGCAGTTTCCTATTGGAGGGGTAATGCTTAGTCTCCTAGCAACATTTGTAAACCTTCACTTTGCTCAGAAGAGGCAAACGGTTGACTATTTTGTGTTCTATCTGCAAAAGCAAAATTTTAAGTTAAACTTTACTATTCAAATGTCCACATTCCCAGTTTCTCTCAATCCAATCCCTATTAGAGTTGGTCCCCAACCATATCCCATTGAAATATAAAAACTTTACCCCTCACTACCCACATAGATCCCATCTGGCCTATATTTAATGTTAGTGCATAAAACTTGTCAGGGCCACTCTACAATTGGTATTCTTGAGGAGCTGATACCAAAAATGTTGTATATTGTACGATACGATTAAACTAGAGATGGTACCAGGAAAAGCTTGTATGCTACCAGAGTAGGGTTTCCAATCGAAATTTTTTGCATGAAAATCCTGCAATAATTGCGCAAAGATTTTCTTAAGTTTTGAGTAAAAATTGCACAAAATTTCGTTATAATTTCGCATTGGTGCGCAAAAGCTATTTTGCGCAAATTATTGAGAAAATCTTGCTTTTTGCGCTTTCATTATTCCTGCTATTTAGTTATTTCAAGCTATTTCGGTTTTTCAAGCTATTTCGCTAAATTTCGAGAAAAAATTCTAGGAAATGAATTAATGTAAAGCTAATCCAATCCCACGCTTTACTCCGGTCCGCTCTCACCCGTACCTTTGGCGATGGACTCACTTCAAAGGTTTTAAGTAAGTCACCATTTAATTTAAGACAATTTGGTACAGCCGATAGAGATAGGTAACAAACAAACAGACACCCAAACAAGAGAAATGTACACATCTTGTGATGTCACCTCTTTAGCGTTTTTTTCAAAACATATTTATCATAACAAATTTTTGTTTAAGAAAGCAACCAACATTTTTACCGTGTCAAACTATATATATATAATCATATAATAATGAAATAATTGGTCATGAATAAAATATTGTAGATATGGCAGTTGTTTTTTACTGAAACTAATTCACATCATACTGTTCTATATTTAAATCTTTTATATATTTGAGCAAAATGTCACGAAACAAATATTACTTTTTTCGTATTCATGCGGAAAATCATGCAAGAATGATGACTTTTATTATGTATTCATCCGCAATTTCGTGCAAAAAAAATTATTTATTTCGAATGAATGCGTAATTTCATGCAAACCTGGTTTCGTATTGATACGAAAATGATGCGAAATTTCGTGCAAATACGCGAAACTGTTTTACAAGAGAATCGTGGAAACCATATACCAGAGGCAGCTTATGGGAGGGAGAAAGGGGGAATGTCCCCATCCCTAAAAACAATTGGGGGGACGTTGTCCCCCTGTCTTGAAAAATTAGGAGTTCAAAAAGATAGAGCAGGCATGCCATCTAGCCCTTCAATTTTAATTTTTAAGAATAGATTCAAAAATATCTCTGGGGAAAAATTTGTTGACATGGGGGGGGGGGGAATGAAAATTTTTGGTCAGCTTCCCAAGCTATAATTTATCCCCCCCCCCTCCTCCTGGAAAATATCATAAGCCACCCATTTATACTACTGGTTTGAATATTGCAAGGATTGCAAGGATTGTAAGTATGGTTACCAGATAGACAATACCCCAAAATACGACACATGATTAAGTTTCCTGTTTTGGAATGCTTGGGTATGATACTCCTTGACATATCAAACAAGACGGGTGGAGTTTTGGTAGCGTCAATTTGGTAAGGACAATTTGGAAATGACAATTTGGAAATGACAATTTGGTAATGCCAACTTGGTAAGGTGACAATTTGGTAATGACAATTTAGTAATGACAATTTTGTAAGATCATTTAAGTGACAATTTGGTAATGACAAATTGGTAACTACAAAAAAATGACAATTTGGTAATGACAATTTGATTGCTGCATGAAAATGACGATTTGGAACTAGATAAAGTGACAATTTTGTGACAACCAGGTTTATAACAACAGAAAAGAGACTGTTTGGTGACTACATATCAGGTTGCAAAGATATAGGATTTGTTTGTTGCTAGTTCTAAGTTCCTTTAAAGTCTAAGTAATTTTTGTTAACCTCTAGTACATTAGATGTGTATTTAAAAAATCTCATCAACGATCAAACAAAACACAATAGACTGTACTTGGGATTAAATGAATAATTGATAAAAAATTACATTATGTTGGTTTAGACAGTTTTTGGGCCGAGCAATGCGGCTAGGGGGCGGAGCGCGGCGGCCTCTTAAATATTGAATAATGTGCTGTTTCTTTCATTATTTTGGGTTAGCTGGGTTAAAAAGTTTAGGTGCCAAGCGCTGCAACTAGGATGGGCTAGGGGGCCGCTACCTGCGGCCTCTTAAATGTTAAATATTGAGCTGTCTCTCTCATTATTTTGGGTTTGAGCCGAGCACTGCGGCTATGATGGGCTAGTGGGCCGACTTAGATTAAAACAATATTTTTAGAAAATGTTGAGAATTTTACAATTTTTTTGGCGCATTTTACATAATGTCACTTTACCTAACCTAACCCAACATAGTTTAATTAATTATTTATTAATAATTGCAAATATGTATACTTTTTTATTAAAATTTTCATCCTACTAAATTATCATTACCAAATTGTCATTACCAAATTGTCACCTTAACAAATTGGCATTACCAAATTGTCATAATCAAATTGTCCTTGTCAAATTGTTATTACCAAATTGTCATTACCAAACTGACATTACCAAAAATCCGCCCATCATTAATCAATGCCCGCCAATAATGGCTTGACTAGCCCTTGAATAATGTTTGAATGAATCTTGTAGTTTAGGTGTAACTGTAATTTAGAGGGAAAAAAAATATGATTAAGATTATAAAAATAAAATTCTTTTCCTATTATATTAAAATTGTTCTTTAATGTGTAGACAACTTATTCTCTGTAGCTGATAAAGTCACTGAACAACCCAAAAAAGAATTAATGTATAAAATAAAGCATTTTGCTCATAAATACTCACAGAGTTTAACAGTTTAACTTTATACTTGGATACATTTCTAAGATTTCAAAAGAGAAATTGTGTATCTATCTGAATAGCTCACTCCTAACATTCATTGAATCAACCTCACTCTCACTCCTTCATGTTTACTTTCAACACGAACCTTCAGATGGCTTGCTCTAATTGCAACATAATCACATACTACAGAGCAAGCATTTACATTGTAATTTTCGGCAAGAAAACATTTCAGATTCTAAAATTTAACATTTTTTAAATTTTCGGAAAAATACATTAAGCGTTAAATATAAATATTTACACATTAACAGATTATCAATATTATCATTGATGACAAACATAAATTGAGGGATTTAAATGTCGGGTAAATGAGTAGTTAAGTAAAGTTCATCATAAATTGCGAAAAACCACTTTTTTACTAACGCATAATATACCAAAAAAGATATTTATCATTTATAGACCACAGTATATAAGAACAATTAAACTTGTACTTTAAAGAACAAAATGTTTTTCTTCAGATTTAAAGGGACTGTTCACTTATTTGGGTAATTTCAGGGTAAATTGGCATTAGTCTAACTATTCAAAATTAACTCTGGCCGGTAAGAAAAGAATTAGCACTAAGGTGTAATTTTACTCACTACTTAGTTACTTATTTATGTAAAAAAGCTTTATGCTCATATATTTATACATGTAAGCTTTTACTTATTATTTTAAAAATAAGAATACAAATATTCTTGAAAACTAAATTATATTCTTTAGATTAAAAAATGCCACTAAGGAGTAGTATAAACAATGTAAAGTTGAAATAATTGTAAAATAAACAATAAACATCTGTTATACATTAAAATTAAAAGAAGCATTTAATATTTAGGATTAAATTAAATGGGTGAATTTACAAAACTAAGATATCAATTAATATTACTTTTATCATGTAATCTTCATAACAAACTAACGTTGAATTACAAAGACAGCTAATAATTATTAGTAACATGCCTTTTTTGACTGAAGTGGCAACATACTCACATTATTAACATTAAATTATACATTATTTCATGTTTTCTTTCTACATGAACCTTCAGATAGCTTGCTCTAGTTGCAACATACTCACATGCAGAGCAAGGATATCTCACTACTTCATGTTTACTTTCAACATGTCTCTTTAGATCACGTGCTGTAGTAGTAGTATGCTCACATTGCGAACAAGGATATCTCACTCCTTTGTGTTTACTTTCAACATGTCTATTCAGATGACATGATTTAGTTCCAGAATAATCACAAAGAGAACAAGGATATCTCACTCCTTCATGTTTACTTTCAACATGAACCTTTAGATGTCTTGCTGTAGTTGCAGCATGCTCACATTGCGAACAAGGATATCTCACTCCTTCATGTTTAATTTCAATATGAACCTTCAGATGACTTGTACGAGATGCAACACACTCACATTCAGGGCAAGGAAATCTCACTCCTTCATGTTTACTTTCAACATGTTTCTTTAGATCACTAGCTGAAGTAGCAGCATGGTCACATTACGAACAAGGATATCCCACTATTTCATGTTTTTTTTCTACATGAACCTTCAGATAGCTTGCTCTAGTTGCAACATACTCACATGCAGAGCAAGGATATCTCACTCCTTCATGTTTACTTTCAACATGTCTCTTTAGATCACTTGCTGTAGTAGTAGTATGCTCACATTTCGAACAAGGATATCTTACTCCTTCATGTTTGCTTTTAACATGTCTCTTTAGATCCTTTGTTGTAGTAGCAGTATGCTCACATTGCAAACAAGGATATCTCACTCCTTCGTGTTTATTTTCAACATGAACCTTCAGATGATGTGCAGTAGTAGCAGTATGCTCACATTGCGAACAAGGATATCTCACTCCTTCATGTTTACTTTCAACATGTCTCTTTAGATGGCTTGCTGTAGTTGCAGTATGCTCACATTGTGAACAAGGATATCTCACTCCATCATGTTTACTTTCAACATGAACCTTCAGATGATGTGCTGTAGTAGCAGTATGCTCACATTGCGAACAAGGATATCTCACTCCTTCATGTTTATTTTCAGCATGTCTCTTTAGATCACTTGCTGTAGTTGGAGCATGCTCACATTGCAAACAAGGATATCTCACTCCTTCATGTTTATTTTCAGCATGCCTCTTAAGCCTCTGTGAAGAAGTTGCAATAAACTCGCATTGAGAACAAGGATATCTCACTCCTTCGTGTTTATTTTCAACATGAACCCTCAGATATCTTGCTGTAGTTGCAGCATACTCACATTGCGAACAAGGATATCTCACTCCATCATGTTTACTTTCAATATGAACCTTCAGATAACTTGTTCGAGTTGCAACATACTCACATTTATTACAAGGAAATCCCACTTTACTTCTCTTAGTTCTCTTCGGTTCCGGTTTAAAAACTTGATCCATGTTTGCTCCTGAATAGATACACCTGTTTATTTTTATTTAAATGTTTATGCTAGACCTTACAAATTCAATTGATTAACTGTAGTTATCATTATTATTATTATATTTTTTTTATTCATTTTAATTTATTGTTTAAAATATAATATTTCTCATTACTTGAATCCTCTATTTCAGGAAAATCAGGATCAAATACAGGTTGGCTCTCTTCCGCATCTAAACAGATTGAAACAATTTAGTCAGGGTTTAAATATTTTTTAAAATTATGCCTTTCGTTAATTACCAAACCTATCCTACCACCCTCTTTTGCGATAGATAATTTTTATAAAGGGGATGTAGGAGATGTCCTATTTGATGAGGTTGGGGAGGGAGGGGCCCTGCCTTAATTTTTGGTTCAAATCTTCCAATTTTTTTTAGCTGCACGTCTAATTAGTGTTCGAATTTCCTTTAAAACAAATTGAATTTTCATGACCTCTAATGACCTCAGCAAATAGAAAATTATCAACTATGGCTTTATGCATATCAAACGAAAGCTAAGAACTCATGGAATACTGTAGCAGCAACGAATCTAGTGTTTGACGCTCTAATGAACTCTTACGAACTCTAATAAAAAGAAAATGTTTTAAATATGGCATTATGTATATTCAACAAAAGCTAGGAACCCAGTGATTACAGTAGTAGAAACATATCTAGTGCTTACCCTTTAATGACCTCTAACGACCTCTAACAACCTAAAATGACCTCCAAAATGAAAATGTATGGCTTTTTGCTTATCCAACAAAAGCTAGGAACTGGGCCAGGGAATACAGTAGCAGCAACACATTTAGTGTTTTACCCTCTAAGGACATCTAACGACCGCAAACAACCTAACATGACCTCCGAAATGAAGATGTTTTAAATATGGCTTTATGTATATCCAACAAAAGCTAGGAACTCAGGGAATACAGTAGCAGCAACACATCTAGTGTTTTACCCTCTAAGGACATCTAACGACCTCAAACAACCTAACATGACCTCCGAAATGAAGATGTTTTAAATATGGCTTTATGTATATCCAACAATAGCTAGGAACCCAGGGAATACAGTAGCAGCAACGAATCTAGTGTTTTACCCTCTAACGACCTCAAACAACCTAAAATGACCTCCAAAATGAAAATTTTTTAAATATGGCTTTATGTATATCCAACAAAAACTAGGAACCCAAGGAATACAGTAGCAGCAACACATCTAGTGTTTTACCCTCTAAGGACATCTAACGACCTCAAACAACCTAACATGACCTCCAAAATGAAGATGCTTTAAATATGGCTTTATGTATATCCAACAATAGCTAGGAACCCAGGGAATACAGTAGCAGCAACGAATCTAGTGTTTGACCCTCTAATGACCTCTAATTACCTCCAAAATGAAAGTTTACTTTAGTTAATATTTTTATAATTAAACTCTCTCCCCCCCACCTCTTCTTAACACCCTTGTAAAATATTCTTTTTCTTCATTTGTTTTTAACAATATTTAACAAGCATTTTATTTAACCTCCAATATTATACAAACATCCCCCCCCCTTATTAATAAATGCAAGAATAAAGAGAAATTAAGTTGGTGAGGATATATAGATGACAACTGTTTAAAATCAACCCATTATGTAAAAATTATATACCGAGCTATGAAAAGTTCCGCGGTTTAAACGAGTTCTCCAATCATAAGTTGAGGAAAATCAGTCAAGGAGTTCGATAATTTTGATCAAACATTATAATAAACAAACCCAAGTTACCACTTGATATATTTCGATATTTTAAATATTTTTACTTTTAATTTTTGTTAAAATGTAAAATTTCTAATTACCTGAATTCTGTTTGTCATGTTTAATGATTAGCTCAGTGTGTAAATGAGGATCAAATACAGGTTTATTCTCTACAGTTTCCTGTATTTCAGTCTTCATTACATCTGAACATAAAATTCACTTAAGGTGTCAATATCATTTTTAATCATACCTCCCCCCCCCACCTTAGAAATATGTTCTTTGAAGCTTTTCCAAGCTTTTATATTGTACTTTCCGGCAAAAAAACACATTTTAAATCTAAATATTTACATTTTTACGTTTGCCAAAAAACATTAGCCATTATCTTGTAAAAATTAAAATTATTGAATTTACCTTGTGTTTCTGTATATTCCATCTTTACTTCATCTTTATTTAGATTAACAGTACATGTTTCTTCTACAGTAGAGGAGGGATGAATTTCTTCCTTGATGGAAACTTTCTCTTCTTTTATCTCAAACTCTTCTTTATTAGCCTCCGCTATTATATCTGTAAAATACATTCAGCGTGAAATATAAATATTTACACATTAACAGATTATCAATATTATCATTGATATGACAAACAAAAATTGAGGGATTTAGATGTTGGGTAAGTGTATAATTAAGTAAAGTTCATCATAAAATTGCGAAAACCCCCTTTTTTAGCTTTCTTAAAAAACGAAAAAGCTCAAAGGAAAAAATACAAAAACCAAGAACATATTCCATTAGAAAAACAATTACAATTAACGATGGAATGAATGCCTTTATTTAGATTATTGCTTTGATTTCTTTGCAACAAATCATATACCAAAAAAATATTAATCATTTATAGACTACAGTATACAACAACACTTACTTATACTTTAAAGAACACAATGTTTTCTTCAGATTTAATGGGACCGTTCACTTATTTAAGTAATTTCAGGGTAAAAAAATACCTTAATAATTCAATGATAACTCTGACTGGTGAGAAAAGAATTAGCACTCAGGTGTAATTTTAAAATCATGTTAGGTGGGGGTTTGGTAACTTAGACCAATGTAAAGTATTATTTAGCAGAATAATATTGAGAATTGAAATAAAAAATAAAAAAGAGTATTTGAAAGAAAAAATAATATTTTCTTCAGATAATAGAAAAGGTATCACGCAAGTGTGATTTGAAATAAAAGTGGGATAAATTGGTTAATTTACAAAACTAAGAAATCAATCAATATTAATATTATTATTTTTTCTATCTTTATAACAAACAAGCATTGAATTACAAAGACAGCTAATAACTATTCGTAAACACTCAAAACAGCCTACCTTGGTTAGGCGGGTCCAAACTGCAAAGTAAATTGTGATTGCTTATTTGTAATATCTCATGCTTTGTAGTTGAATAAAAATATGAAATAAAATATGAACATGCCTTATATATATGAACAAGGATATCTCACTCCTTCATGTTTACTTTCAACATGTCTCTTTAGATCACCTGCTGTAGTTGCAGCATGCTCACATTGCGAACAAGGATATCTCACTCCTTCATGTTTATTTTCAACATGTCTCTTTAGATATCTTGCTGTAGTAGCAGCATAGTCACATTGCAAACAAGGATATCTCACTCCTTCATGTTTACTTTCTACATGAACCTTCAGATGGCTTGCTCTAATTGCAACATACTCACATGCAGAGCAAGGATATTTCACTACTTCATGTTTACTTTTAATATGTTTTTTCAGATCATTTGCCTTTGTTGCAGCATATTCGCATTGAGAACAATGATTTTTCACTCGTTCATGTTGATTTTCAATATGAATTTTCAGGGTAAAAGCTCTGGTTGCAACATACTCACATTTATTACAAGGAAATCCCACTTTACTTCTCTTAGTTCTCTTCGGTTCCGTTTCAAATCCTTGATCCATGTTTGCTCCTGAATAGACGAAACCTGTTTATTTAATTGTTTATGCTAGACCTTACAAATTCAATTGCTCAACTTAGTTATCATTATTATTAATATATATTTTTTTTTGATTCATTTTAATTCGTTGTTTAAAATATAATATTTCTAATTACCTGAATCCTTTATTTCATCTTTAATGATTAGCTCAGTGTGAAAATCAGGATCAAATACAGGTTGGCTCTCTTCCGCATCTAAACAGATTGATAAAATTTAGTCAGGGTTTAAATATCTTTTACAATAGATAATTTTTATAAAGGGGATGAAGGAGATGTCCAATTTGATGGGGGGGGGGGGGGGTGGCCGCCTAAATAGTGTTCAAAATTTCTTAAAATAATTTGAATTTTAATGACCTCAAAAAAAAGAAAATGTTTCAACTATAGCTTTCTGCATATAAAACGAAAGCTAGGAATTCAATGAATACAGCAGCAACTAATCTAATGTTTGACCATCTAATGACCTCTAACGACCTCTAATAGCCTAAAATGACCTCCAAAATTAAAATGTTTAAATATGGCTTTATGCATATCCAAAAATGCTAGGAAAACCCAGGGAATACAGTAGTAACAACGAATCTAGTGTTTGACCCTCTAATGACATCTAACGACCTCAAACAACCTAAAATCACCTCCAAAATGAAAATGTTTTAACTATGGCTTTATGCATATCCAACAAAAGCTAGGAAAACCCAGGGAATACAGTAGTACCAACAAATTTAGTGTTTGACCCCCTAATGACCTATAATGACTGCAAAAATGAATTTTTTTACCATGGCTCCTAGCTTTTGTTGAATCATCTTTGAGAATGAACCTAACAGATATCCTAAAATCATAAAACCCTTTTTTCTATTGTAAATAAAAAGTAAATTTGAACACTAATAAGGCGTGCAGCCAAAAAATTGGAAGATTTGAACCAAAAATGAAGGCAGAGACCCCCCACCCCCTCATCAAATAGGACATCTCCACCATTCCCTTTAGTTTTTGCTCAAATCATATATTTTCCAATAAATTCACAGTGAATTTCTGTGCAGGGGTAAGGTTTACATGGTGTTATTGTTATTTCTATTTTTATAACAAAAATTTTTACACAAAATATTTTCAAAAATATTAAAAATCTAAAACTAAATCTAACTGATGATGATGCTCATATTATTTATAAAAAAAACTTTTCAAGTTTACATGTATCCTCTACAATAGAAGAGGGAAGAATGTCTTCCCTGATGAAAACTATTTCTTCTTTTATCTGAAACTCTTCTAAATCTAATTCTTCTTTAATAATCTCGGCCATTCTATCTGAAAATAGGGATGGTGTAAAAAAATAAAATAATAAGTTTATAAATAATAATGTATAATAATAAAAATAAAAAAAACAAGTTAAATTTAATAACAAAGTATAATTCAATTAAACAGAAAAACTCATATTGCGGAAAACAGATAAAAATGAATTAAATAATTGCTTATTGTACTACAGAATAAAAAAAAAGTTTAATACAAATTAAACTTATTTCAAAAAATAACTTTATCCAAATATTGAGTTTGAAAAGATGACCAAATTTTTAAATAAATACAGCTACAGATGAGACAGTTCTGAATTAAGAAAAATGCCATGAACAGCTGACTTGTGTCGGTAGTTATGTAAGACGACATTTTAATGTTTACAATTATAATACAGGGTGTCCCACGAAACATGACCTTTAATAAATAGCTATTTTTAGTTAAACAAATCTTTTGATTAGTTATATTTTACTTTGAAATCAATTTTGATATAACATGACTCCCATATATTTTTATTGATCTTTGGTATCAAACAACTTCATAAATTATGGAAAAAGATATTCTAAACTATTCACCAACTGTCATGTTTCGTGGGACACCCTGTATGTAACACGACATGTAGGCCTCTCTTTAATGAAACTACTGCTACTACTACTGTGATGTACAGCTAACATATCAGAGACTCAAAGAGCAGCTCAGTAATGTAACTAACATATCAGAGAATCAAGGAGCAGCTCAGTAATGCACAACTAGCATATCAGAGACTCAAAGAGCAGCTCAGTAATGTACAGTTAACATGATAGGGAATCAAGGAGCAGCTCAGTAATATAAAGCTAACATATCAGAGACTCAAAGAGAAGATTGGTAGTGTACGGCCAACACACCAGAGAATCAAGGAGCAGCTTGGTAATATACAACTAACATAACAGAGACTCTAGGAGCAGCTGGATTTGAGAGACATTAGAAGCAGCTACGGTATCATCCATGATTACAGTATAGGAGATACTGAACTGGAGCAGCTAAACGAGATATCAAGTTGAGGGAGCTGCCTAGCTAGATACTGAACAGGAGCTGTATATGAAAGAAATTCATAACAGTTTCTAACTTTAATTATAATTCCAGGCTCAAAGAAAAGAGTTGGAGAAAAGAAAGAGTCAACAAATGGAATCTGAAGAAAGTGAATAATTAAAAGAAATCTCCAGGTTCCATCTTGAAACTCCTTCTCATGCCCTTAGGAGATTAAGGAAGGATGGAGATGATGGAGTCAAAAAGACTACCAATTTCAGAGGATGTGGAACCAGAGGTTTCAGGCTCCGAGGATGGAGGTTTAGAATCTCCGAGGACGGAGGTTTAGAATCTCCAAGGACGGAGGCTTAGAATCACCAAGGACAGAGGCTTAGAATCTCCGAGGATGGAGGTTTAGAATCTCCGAGGACAGAGGTTTAGGGAAATGGAGTCTCCAAGCCTCAGAGGCCAGAGGATGTGGAACCAGAGGTTCCAGCCTCCGAGGTTGGAGGTTTAGAATCTCCGAGGACAGAGGTTTAGGGGAGTGGAGTCCCCAAACCTCAGAGGTCAGAGGATGTGGAACCAGAGGTCCCAGCCTCCGAGGATGGAGGTTTAGAATTCATAGAGTATGAGTTGGGAACCTCCAATATCCCACACATAATATGAATTATGGATTTTCCTTCTAACCAATCAGAATGAACTCTATACAACTTTTTGAATATTTGTTTTCTTTTTCTAAAATAGGAGAATCTTAAATGAATACTAGGTATATAAGCTTTACTTGACTCACTTTGGGGTCAGTTCATATAATCCATTTGGATAAGTTAATTCAACAGTTAAAGTTTCCATTCAAGAACTCCATTGTTGTATAAGTACTTTTCCTTGTTAATTAATAATTTCAATCTCTGATAGCTATTTTCCAGAAAGTTTATAGTTTTGGACTCTAGCTGTCTGTCCTTTTAACATCTCAGCTTATAAAATAGATATCTATATGATTTGTGTTGAATGTAAAACCTATAATTATATATATATATATATCTATTCCTATATTGCTGTAATGTTGACTCTAACTGTACAATGAGAACCTCAAATATTTAATAAATGCACTTTCTTTGTTAATAACATCTATTCAGGATTATTTAACCAAAACTTTTTGAATCATTAGTAAGGTGAAACATAGTTTATCAGATATCTGGGGTGAAGTGAGAATTATTGAGATATTTAACAAGGGGTTTAAGTCTTTCAACAGTGCTATAAAATAGGATTATTCAGGGATTTGAGTCTGAAACAGTAGTATTATTATTTTCATAGTAGCGTGGCGCTTTTATTTAATTCCATCTAATAAAAGTTTATGGCGAGCATTCTTAGTGGAAATCAGAAGTCCTTAAGAAGATATAATTACATTGCTAGGAAATAGGTTTTTTTCAGGTACCTTTTCAAGAGGAAAGTTCAGCTGGTACAGAGCAGCTGAACGAGATATTGAATTGAGGGAGCTGCTTGATTACACCAGAGGATTCTGAATATCTGGACAAAATGTTGTGAGGCAGAATTGAAATGAAACAAATATAATTGTATCAATAAAAGATAAACTAATGAATGAATCTTATTTATTCATACTCTGAGAGATAGGTATAGAACTATAGGGATTATATGAAAGGAACAGTTTATGAAATTGGTACTGGGATCGAAAGTAAAGCCTTTGCATTAACCCTTATTGGAAGAAGGGCAAATGGTGGACCTTGACGTCCCTAGAATTTATATTTGGAATTTTAATGATATAAAGATTACAACTTTAATCACTTCAACTTTTTCTAGGGGGGGAGCCCCCCCCCAGGATATACATAGATTCAGACCCCCCAGCCTGTATAGGGTTAAAACATTTTATTTAACCTCCACATCCTAATATTATGCCAACATCCCCCCCTTATTAATAAATGCGCAAGAATGAAGAAAAGTTAAGTTGGTGAGGAAATATAGATGAAAACTGTTTAAAATCATTTTATTCTTACGTGCAGAATAAAACCAAAATTAAATCTAATGTTGGTCCACTTCTGAAGCAAAATGGAGAAATAAAAAGTGACGACATTGAAATGACTGAACTTCTTAATACATATTTCAGTAGTATTTTTTCAGCAGAGGGGGACGGTCCCATCCCAACCCTGTCGAGGCTGACAAGTGAAGAAACTCTGTCGACTACTTTTTTCGATGAGTCTGATATTATTGAGAAGATTGACAAGATGAAATCTACAACTTCTCCTGGAACTGACGGTATCACTTCTACAATACTCAAGGAATTAAAAAACAGTATTTGTAAACCTTTAGCAATAGTTTTTAACAAATCCTTGTATGAAGGCTATGTCCCTGAGGACAGGAGACTAGCCAATGTGACCCCAATTTTTAAGAAAGGTGTTAAATGTAAACCTGAAAGCTATCGTCCGATCTCATTAACTTCCCTTGTCTGTAAAACCATGGAGTCCCTCTTACGGGATAAAATTGTCGACCATTTACAGAAAAATAATCTTATTAACCCCAGTCAACATGGTTTTATGAAGCAGAAGTCCTGCCTTACTAACTTATTGGAGTTTTTGGAGGTCATAACCAGCCTGCAGGATGAAGGTCATTCTATGGACATTATATTTTTAGATTTCTCAAAGGCTTTTGACAAAGTGCCTAAAAACAGATTGCTTAAGAAACTTAAAGCTCATAGTATAAATGGTGATATTTTGAGATGGATCGAAGCTTGGCTTTCAAACAGGGGGCAAAGAGTAGTTTTGAATGGCCAATATTCAGAATGGAAACCTGTCTTAAGTGGTGTTCCCCAGGGATCGGTGCTTGGTCCGATCCTTTTTATCATCTATATTAATGACATTGACTTACTTTGTGCACAAATTTCTGTGTTAAAAAAATTTGCTGATGATACAAAACTTGCCCAAAAAATGTTAAACGAAAGTGACAAAAATATATTACAAAACTGTCTTAATAAACTTTGCGATTGGGCTGAAACTTGGGGTATGATGTTCAATGTTGATAAATGCAAAGTTATGCACATTGGAAATAGAAACCCCTGCTACACATACACCATGAACAATCAAACCCTGTCAGAGATCAACGAGGAAAAAGATATCGGAGTTACTATGCATGCAAACTTGAAACCTTCAGTGCACTGCAACCAATCAGCTCAAAAAGCAAATGGTATATTGTCACTTACTTCTAAAGCATTTCATTATAGAGACAAAGTTACATTCATCAATCTCTATAAGCTTTATGTGAGACCTCACCTAGAGTTCTCCGTCCCAGCTTGATGTCCTTGGAGTGTAGGAGATAAAGAAACTATTGAAAAAGTGCAAAAAAAGGCGGTTTCAATGGTTTCAGGACTCACTGGCTCATCGTACAGTGAAAAACTAATAGAACTCAATTTACAATCCCTTGAAAATCGAAGACTCCGCTATGATTTAATTGAAACCTATAAAATTATTCATGGTGTTCATAATGTTAATAAATGTACTTGGTTTTCAATGTTAGCAGTTACATCCAATAGGATTACAAGAATGTCAGAAAATCCTCTTTCACTTAGTGCAAAATTTTGTAGAACCAATATTCGTAAACATTTTTTTAGCCAAAGAGTTGTTTTTCCATGAAATGATTTACCCTGTGATATAAAAACTGCACCAACGTTAAATACTTTTAAATCCAGATATGATGAATATGTAAAAAATTTCTAATCTAGTTTATTTTGTTGGGACAAAAGGAGCCGAAAAAAGATTACTTTAAAAGAAAACAGAAAGGCCAAATAAGAATAAAAAAATAATCTATGAAAAAATTTTAAAAAAACATGTCAAAAAATAAAAAAAAGAAAAAATGTCAAGGAAGAGAAAAAATAAAAACTCTACCAAAAGAAAAAAATAAATGTCCCTTATTTTTAATCTTGATTCACTGGATATTCGTAATTATTGAATATAATATACTCTGTATATTAATGTGATATATGCAACCATATGAATATCATGACAACAATCGGAAATTTTCTTATATACTCCCCCAGGAGTCCTGAAAATAATCCTAACATAAACATAAACAAACCAATTATGTAAAAATTATATACCGAGCTGTGAAAAGTCCCGTGGTTTAAACGAGTTCTCCAATCAAAAGTTGAGGAAAATCAGTCAAGGAGTTGGATATTTATGATCAAAACATTATAATAAACAAACCCAAATTACCACCTGATATATTTCGATATTTCAAATATTTTCACATTTAATTTTTGTCAAAATGTAAAATTTCTAATTAACTGAATCCTGTTTGTCATGTTTAATGATTAGCTCAGTGTGTAAATCAGGATCAAATGCAGGTTTATTCTCTACAGTTTCCTGTATTTCAGTCTTCAATACATCATTTTTGTTTATTTCATTAATAATATTTTAATAGTTCAAATGAAAATAGTTTAATGAACTAAAAAATAGTTCAAATGAGCAATATATTTACTCGTTTGAACTATTGTTCATTTCAACTGCTCACGTGGTCCCACACGTGCAGTAGTTGAAATGAACAATAGTTCAAATGAACAATAGTTCAAACGGCAGTAGTTCAAATGAGATAGCACCCCATCATTTGGTTTTATGTAAGGTATAAAAGAAGTAACTAATCAAAATGTCGTCTTCTATGATGTTCTCAATGTACACTGTGAACTCTTGAATGAATATATACATACAACATTTGAAAAGTACAACACTATCTTATATCTTTCTACATTCGTTCCGTTAAGAGCTTGGCTCTAGAGAATTGCAATAGGTAATTTCCTAGTATACGATTTTTGGACCCCCCCCCACCCCCAAATTACCACCTGATATATTTCGATATTTCAAATATTTTCACATTTAATTTTTGTCAAAATGTAAAATTTCTAATTACCTGAATTCTGTTTGTCATGTTTAATGATTAGCTCAGTGTGTAAATGAGGATCAAATACAGGTTTATTCTCTACAGTTTCCTGTATTTCAGTCTTCATTACATCTGAACATAAAATTCACTTAAGGTGTCAATATCATTTTTAATCATACCTCCCCCCCCCACCTTAGAAATATGTTCTTTGAAGCTTTTCCAAGCTTTTATATTGTACTTTCCGACAAAAAAACATTTTAGAATCTTAATTTTTACATTTTACGTTTACCTAAAAACATTAGCCATTATCTTGTCAAAATAAAAATTATTAAATTTACCTTGTGTTTCTGTATATTCCATGTTTTTATCATCTTTATTTAGATTAACAGTACATGTTTCTTCTACAGTAGAGGAGGGAAGAATTTCAAACACTAGATTTGTTGCTGCTACTGTATTCCTTGGGTTCCTAGCTTTCGTTGATAAGCAAAAAGCCATTGTTTAAACATTTTATTTGTTGAGGTCATTAGAGATCATTAGAGGTCATTAGAGGTCATTAGAGATCACTAGAGGTAATTATAATTCAATTCAATTTTTTTTTTGAAAATTTGAACACGAATTAGGTGTGGAACCAAAAAATTGGAAGATTTAAACCCAAATTAAAGGCAGGGACCCCCCCCCCTCATCAAATAGGACATCTCTTCCATCCCCTTTGGTTTTTGCTCAAATGATATATTTTCCATTTAAATTCACAATGAATTTCTGTTGTTAGGGTAGCATGGTGTTATTTCGAGACTTTTTACATAAAATTTGTTTTCTTAACTTTTTTTCACAAATATTAAAAATCTAAAACTAGATCTAACTGATGATGCTGAATTTGGATTATCTCATAGTCTGACGAAAACTTTTCAAGTTTACCTTGTATTCCTGTACATTCAATCTTAATATCATCTTTGAGTAGATTAACAGTACATGTATCCTCTACAATAGAAGAGGGAAGAATGTCTTCCCTGATGAAAACTATTTCTTCTTTTATCTCAAACTCTTTTAAATCTAATTCTTCTTTAATAATCTCGGCCATTCTATCTGAAAAATAGGAATGGTGTAAAAAATAAAATCATAAGTTTATAAATAATAATGTATAAAAAATAAAAAAAACAAGTTAAATTTAATAACAAAGTATAATTCAATCAAACAGAAAAATTCATTCAATCAAACAGAAAATTCATATTGTGGAAAACATAAAAATGAAATAAATAATTGCTTAGAGTACAACAGAAAAAAAAAGTTTAATACTTCAGTACAAATTTAACTAATGTAAAAATAACTTATAAGTTATTTTTACATTAGTTAAAACTCAATATTTGGATATATCCAAATATGGAGTTTGAAAAGATGACCCAAAGTTTAAATAAATACAGTTACAGATGATTGATTGATTGATTGATAAACATTTATTTCTTCATACCTAATTACTGGTATCTTAAATCTAGTTACAGATGAGACAGTTCTGATTCTGAATTAAGAAAAAATGCCATGAACAGCTGACTTTCGTTGGTACGTAGTTATGTAAGACGACATTTTAATTTCATAAGATGTAACACGACATTTAGCTGCTTCTCTTCATCCTTTGAAAAAATTGCCGTTTTTTTAATGTTTTTTAAAGTACTGATAATTGATTGAGCTAATGCTTGTTAGGACTAACGTTCGATGCTATTCTGTTTGAACTATAACTGCCGTATGAACTACTGCAGTACAAATTGAACTAAATTGTTTTATGGATCATTTAAACTATTGTTTGTTCATTTGCACTATTTTTTTTTCATTTGAACTTAACATAATAGTTTAAATGACCCATAAAAATAGTGCAAAAGAATATAAATAGTTTGCAAATATGAAAAAATAGTTCAAATAAACATGAAAAAAGGGTAAAGTAATTGTATATGGCTACAGGATTTGCACTGGGATCGAGCTAAAACTGATTACAGGAAGGGGGGGGGGGGGGAGAAGTTGGAGATCAGCTGATAGGGGTTACTGCAGACCCGATCATTTTTACCAACATTCATAATCTTATTTCATTTTCAATTTTTTAAACGTTTTTCAAAGAAGATAAACAGGCTACTGCGCAGTTATCAAATATAATAATCAGTTAGAAGATTTCCATGGGCAGTCTCAGAATGTCTCTAAATTTGGAACCATGCAAGTCTTCGCCACAAACTCAAATTCTAATCTAACATGCAGAATTAGGAACTTTTTTAAATGTTTACAATAGCCTTTAGCCTTTTATAGATCGAGTTCAGAAAGATAAAAATATTTTTTTAAACATTACATGTACAGCTAAGAATACAATTTCTACTATAACTCTTTTGGTTTTATTATTCCTGAAAATGATATTTGCCAATCTTTCTTTTCATTCTACAGGACAATTTCTTGACCGAGCGCTGCGGCCAGAGCAGACATTCAATTTCAACAATTTTCATTTGAACTATTTTCTTGTCCATTTAAACTATTTTTTTGTTCATTTGAACTATTTTTCTTGTCCATTTGAACTATTTTTTTGTCCATTGGAACTATTTTTATGTTCATTTGAACTATTTTTTTGTTCATTTGAACTATTTTTTTTCTCNAAAAATAGTTCAAATGAACATGAAAATAGTTCAAATGAAATAGTTCAAATGAAAAAAAAAATAGTTTAAATGGACTTAAGAATAGTTCAAATGGACAAAAAAAAATAGGTTAGGTTAGGTTAGGTTAAAAAATAGTTCAAATTAAACTATTTTTTTGTTCATTTGAACTATTTTTTTGTTCATTTGAACTATTTTTTTTGCCCATTTAAACTATTTTTTTGTTCATTTGAACTATTTTTTTGTTCATTTGAACTATTTTTTTTTGTCCATTTGAACTATTTTTATCTTCATTTGAACTATTTTTTTGTTCATTTGAACTATTTTTTATTCATTTGAACTATTTTTTTTATTCATTTGAACTATTTTTTTTCATTTGAACTGTTTTTATGTTCATTTGAACTATTTTTTGTTTATTTCATTAATAATATTTTAATAGTTCAAATGAGCAATATATTTACTCGTTTGAACTATTGTTCATTTAAACTACTCACGTGGTACCACGTGCAGTAGTTGAAATGAACAATAGTTCAAACGGCAGTAGTCCAAATGAGATAGCATCTTAATTCATATATATTATATCTTCGAGAACCATCTAAGAAGATGATACAATTCAACATTTTGAAAATCTAAAGAGATGCACATTTTGAACAACCTCGATGATCTCTTTGTCACATTCAAAAACGGTTTTAGTCATCTTTTGATTACCTTTTTTAATAATCAAAGAACACTAAAAGTCGTTTGTACTTTCTTTGTATTATTATTATGGTATTTCTTTACTTCATATTTTGTCATTTTTACACCGACAAACAAGAATTACGAATTTCCACTCGAAATAAAAATTTATCATTTAAAGTATAGTTTTAATACGAGGTAAACTAGTATCAGCAGATTTGAAGAGTTAAATGATCTTTAGAAATAAAAAGTTTTATAGTTAAATAAAACTGGATCCGCACGAACTGCGGCTATAGAGGTTAACATGGAAAATGCTTATCACGGTTTCTTGAAACATATTTAATTTAAGTAAGAACATAAAAAATTTGCATCATGACAAAAATCTAAACTATCGGGCAAAAATTACAGATTAGATTTGAAATCTTAACATTTAGTTTTCACCCGGAAAGTGACCTTAGAATCCTCGCAATTTTTCTAATCCTGAACAGATTTTTATGAATATCCTGAACAGATTACAGACACGCATTTGTAACTGAACTAAACGAACAAAATATGTCCAACGAATATTCTAAAGTAAAATTTCAACTTAAAAATTATTTCAGGTGTAGAAAACTCAAAGGTTTAAATATACAATTATCCCCTCCCCCCTCTCTCCAGTTAACTAAATTCGAGACTAGGAAGAAACTGGAGCAACTATCACTATTTTGTTTTTCTGTAAGTAAGAGTTTTCCCAACAAGTAAGCTTCTCATTTGTCGTAATCTACCATAACTAAGCCATCTAGGCACTCTAGGCCCACACTAATAGGACCTAGACAAGTTGTTCCACCATGAAAAAAAGCAATTGTGCAGTGTATACAGACCTATTATACTTAATAAGTTGTTATTCTAGGTACTTGTAACTATCTGCTTAGATAAAGAGTTATTAAAAAATCCACAATCAATTTATTAACTAGATCATATAGTTCTTTACTTTTATAGATATACTATGTACACTGTACAGTACAATGGTAAGTTTAAGTACAACGCTTCTTTAAGTCCAAAATTTAAATCTTCACAGCTATTACATATGATTATTACTGCATAGTGCATATTTGTATATTGTAAATAGTAGAGATATAAACAAAGCATTAAATATTAAGGTCAGGATAAAAAATTAACATCAATGTTAAAGTTTAACATCAAAGATTTAATTATCATTTTTTTATTGAATTCGAATGGATATTGCAAATACATATTTTAATGGAAACTTGCTATGACTGTGTAGTGTGTAAAACTGTGATAAACACGAAAATGGACAGTAATCAGGGATCTGAACTATTTATTTAAAATGGACAGCCAGGAGCCCAGTGTCCCCGTCTACCACAGTTGAAACACTCCCCGTACCCTCCGTAGTATGATCCCTCTACCCCCTCTACGGATAAACTAGATGAACTAGATATTATTGGGTTCCCTTTAATCTGATAAACTAGATGAACTAGATGAATTAGATGAACCAGAGGAACTAGAGGAACCAGACACACTAGAGTTTTCGTTCTCATCATCATCAGAGCTGACATAAACCACCATCTCATTAACCATAGATGCAGGACTAGATGCTGATGTAGCAGCTGCAGATCCTCTTGAGGCAGATGGAGATATTCTAGTAGCAGCTGCTATTGAACTCCTAGAAGCAGCTGCAGCAGCTGCTGCACCTCTAGCAGCTCCTGCTCCCCTAGAAGCGGCAGCTGCTCCCCTAGTTGAGGCAACTGTTCCTCTAGAGGCAGCTGCTGCCGCTGCAATAGCATTTGCTGCTTCCTCAATTACTGATACCCTCTGACTGCTCTGTGTTGTGACTATAGGTGTAGGGGCGGGATAAGTGGGCGTGGTGACTCTAACTGCACCAGGCGGCGGAAATACAGGATTGAGAACACGGATTTGTCCTCCGGAAAAACCTTCGACAATCGGACCTTGAGCTAGAGCTCTTACGCCGAACCTGATATGACTCTGGGGAGGTGGAGCCGGGTTCCCAGGAGGAGGAGGTCGGGTTTGAGGTGTAGGTTGTCTATTAGGTACTGGTATCAACATATCCTGTATCCCTCCTCTACCTCGACCCCCTCGGCCTCCTCGACCTCCTCGTCCTCTTCCCCGCCCTCCATGAACCATGTTTTTCGAAGTATCTGCTTCTCTGTCCTGTCTAAAATAGTCTTAATGAACATTTCTGCCTCATCAACAAAATAATTAATTATTTATTTATCTTTCTATTGAATTGTAATCTTCAAAATGATATTCAAGGAAAAGAGAAGATCTTATTTTAGGTGTTATTCAATTTCTGTAAACATGAAGCAATCATCTTTCAGATAAAAATGAAGAACCTGAATTTAGTTTCTTGCAGTTGACGTTCTTGAACTTTTACACGTCTTTCTTCAACCTGCAAACAAAAAAATGTGACTAGAGCCGGGAACTTTTGAATGGTGGATATCGGGATTAATGCTTGATCCACTCTTTTTCTTAATCTCGAGATTAAATAATGCTTGTTCTCCTCTTATTATTAATCTCCAGATGAATTAACCGATCGGGATTAAGGATATTCCATTCTAAAGTTTTCAGCTCAGGACATATCAGATGAAACAAAAAACACTGCTATGAATTTGAACAAAAGAGTTCGTACAGAAGTTAAAAAAAAACCTTCCTTATGAAAGACGACATGGAATACTTCAGTAATACATCAGGAAATCCTCATAATATTGGAGTTTTACGCAAAAATACGTACAATTGAAATAACATAACACTACTCTATTTTAATTATCAAACTTCGTCTAAATATTGCCTTTTCTTGTTAAAACGAAATGTATATCTAAGTGCAATGTACAAATTGTAGTGTGCATTTGTACTTGAAAATTATAATTGAGTACACAAACTTTAAATTGAAACAGAGAGGAGGGAAAATAGAGAAATGGTGGCATTAATTAACCACTGTATTCAGACTAATATTTTAAACCATCTTTTTTTAATTAATGGTTCTAATGCTATTGAAAAAAAAAACATTTTTGCTTTAAAATTTTTTTTATTAATGTCGTCTTTGATCTCATCCGTGTAGTATGGTTTTTTTCGGGACCGGACTCATCTTCAGAGCAGTGTTAACTTCGTAAAAACATAAAGAGGAAGGGGACATTTACCAACTGCAAAATGATTGTATTTGATAAAATGTTCAAATTGTTTATCCTTCAATAACTATTTATCTTTGAATTAGTAAAGAAAAGACCAACCTTGTCCGGCCCCAGCTGGGAAATCAGAGCTTCAATAATATTCTCAATACTGATACCACGAGACTCTGAGGTTATGTCCACTCTATAGATAACAATTGATGAAGTAGACGTGATATAGCGCATTTTAGAGTTAGCTGTAACCAAATAGATTATCAAGTGCAATAGGTGGCAACAGAGAAATTAACCAACTATACACTACGTCATTTAAGTGTCAAATAAAACAAGAAAAACGAAATTTTCTCAAATTAGTTGACATGTTTTCCAAGATTTAATAAATAAGTGTAAAAACAGAAACTAAAGAACACATAAAATTGCACTTATTTTACTGTAAGAAAAGCACTGTATTCTAAAATTATCACTATTATTGATGATTTTGTCGGATACAAAAACTGAATTGACACTTGTGACGACAGAATACAACTGTACTGAGAGTGTACAAACTCAACGTTGTCATCTATTGTACTAGAATCTATTTGGCTGTAACTATTAATATAATGAAGCAGAAGCTTCAATGTATGTATATAAGTGCGAATATATTTGTTTTAAAGAATATTTTGTGCTTTATCTACGTGATGCACAGTTAGAGAAGTTTCTAGTTTCCTCTGCTCTACACAGAGATGACAGTAGCTGTGAACACTGTGGACAGGTGCAGTACTGTAAATGCACTGCTGTAGACAGCTGGAGAACTGTGTACCGTACCTTCATTGTGGACAGCTGAGTCCGTGTACCGTACCTACACTGTGGACAGGTGGAGTACCATATACCGTACCTGCACTGTGAACAGGTGGAGTACCATGAACCGTACCTGCACTGTGAAAAACTGGAGTACTGTGAACTTTACCTGCAGTGTGCACTGATGAAGTACCATGTACCGTATTTGCACTGTGTTCAGCTGAGTACCGTGTACCGTACCTTCACTGTGGACAGCTGAGTGCCATGTACCGTACCTGCACCGTGGAGAGGTGGAGTAGTGTGTACTGTACCTGCACTGTGGACTGCTGGAGTATAGTGTACCGTATCTGCACTGTGTACAAGTTGAGTACTGTGTACTGTACCTGCTCTTTTATTGTGGACAGCTAGAGTACCGTGTACCGTACCTGCACTGTGGACAGCTGGAGTACCGTGTACGGGCACTTACAATCAACCAAGCTCAAAAAAAATTTCCATTCAAAACTGAAACTAACGGGAACAATATTAGCTACATTGGTTTTAGGTTTTAGGGTGCAAAATTGGACACCCTACTGTATACTGAACCTTCACTTTTGAGAGCAAGAGTTACTGTACCTGCACTGTGGACAGCTGGAGTGCTGTTTAGCATGTTTCCACTGTTCTAGACAAAGCCAGCAGTAACTATGTCCACAGTTAAGGAAGACGGGATGAATGGGCAGCTCTAGACAGGTCGAACAAACCATTTGCTGCTCAAGGGTATTTTCGACTCGATCCAAAACCTCACGGGCTCCTGAACAAAAGATATATATTATATTAGGCATTTAGGGCGCTTTACACCCAATGCCCATCTTCTATTTCAACTTTTAATTGTGGCTTTAACCTTGAGCATCTTCTCTTTGTACAATATAAATTTTTTTTTTTAAATTCGGATTTCATATTTATTTTGCGCATTTTAAAAATTTTACAAAAATAAAAAAGTTTCCAACACAAATTTTAGAAATTTTGATCATTCATAAATAACCTTCCCTGGGGTCACGTGATTTGCCACACAAAATTTGGTCCCGATCGGTTCAGCCGTTTTGACGTTTATTGGATACAAACAAACAGACACCCAAACACCCAAACAGACAAGCCTATAAATAGATTGCAGTGTGCGTCAACACTCAACAGTGAAAAATACAACTAGACGAGTCCAGATAAGATAAGATAAGGGGGGATCTGAAAACCCTCCCATCTTGGAGAGCCCAGACCGCCATCGGGGCTAACTCCCATGAGCTACGGCACCGTCCGGCTCCCATACATACAATGGGAAGATGCTACCAGTGGGTCGCGGAGAATCACAAAGTGATCCTGATGTGTATCCTACAACAGCCTACAATCTATTATTTAAAAAAGCCCCAACAGACTTTGATTGGCTCAGTTCTATAGCATTATCTCTTCTAACGCCGCGGCCCCTAACATTAACAATAAAAAATCTGACCCTGCTGTTTGAATGCCTCTGCCTCTAAAAGAGTATTCTCCATCTCCCTTTGCAGTTCCTGAATTCTCTCCTCCTTCCTCACGTTCTCCTCCTCGGAGCTGATCGCCCTAAACAGACTCAACATGATAATGATAATCTTGCCGAATTTTCCTGATTTAGCTTCACGGATTTTTACCTCAACTTCTCCTTCTCGATCGCAACAAGTATTTCCTGTTGACGGAGTTGGTTCTCTTCTTCCTTTCTTTTCAGCTCTTTCTGGTTCTCCTCTTCCTTCTTTTTCAGCTCGATCATGTTCTCCTCCTCTTTCCTCTTCATCTCTTGCAGTTTGTTTTTCTGCTCCTCCTCAGCTCTCGCCTTCTCCTCTTTTAACAACATCATCTCAGCTTCAAACCTAAAATAAAAACTTTAAATTTTGACGTTCGACTGAAGTGGAGAAAATAACATTTATCAAGGAAACTGTGGATGTAATTTCTAATGACACAAATGGAAAGAGTTGCATACCCGATTCACATCGGTACCCTTTACACATCTATCACATAATCGAAGCAACAATTAAGAAAATATCCCCGTTTTTCAATCTTAAAAAGAGGTGAATTCTATGATTTCCTTCAACCTTCCTTTGCTCTACTAATTGCATAAATCTGCAAATTACTTTTACAGATAAACCAGAAATGAAAACAACCAGTTTCATAAAAGATTCCAGGATATTTTCCTCAGACGAAATCTTATGGAACATGTCACTTTTTAACCTGGAGGGTAAATTGAAATTCGTCTAGAGTTCCTTTAAGAGAAATGAATTTCATAATTATCCACCTGTCTCTCTCCTCCTGCAGCTTTTTCTTCTCATTTGATATTTTCTCTTTCTCCAGCTTCTCCTGAAAGGATACAATCATGAATTTCATGAACAAATACACCCTTTGACTTATAAAACGTTGTCAAATGAAATAAGCAAGAAAGTAAAACCAATAGAAACACAAAATGCAACTTTAGTTAAAAAGATTCCAAAACTGGAAATTAATTATTTGATGAGGATGGAAAAAATTTAAAACTGACACGCTTCCCCCCCCCCTTAAAAATCATAATCCCGCCTCATATGTTACCTGCTCCAGTATCAGCTCCGCCTCCTCCTTCACCTTCTCCATCCTGGCCTGCAACTCCGAAATTCTCTCCTCCTTCCTCAAGTTCTCCTCCTCAGAACTAGAGGCTCTAATAAATACCATGTTTAAACGACATTGCTCTAATAAATTGCACTTTTAGACTTTTTAAAACAACTAATTTAGAAATAATGGTCTTGTAAAACATGCGATGCTCTATAACACTCACGCTTTAGAAATTATGTAATATTAAACCATGTCATTATTAAATACGTTATATTGCTCTGGGCAATAAAAACACTTAAATATTATTTTATTATCAGACTTAATTTTTTTAAATACTAATCGAACATCAGAGGTAAAAATTAAGAGCGTATACAGGGGGGGGGGGGAGCAAGGGCACTGTGCTCCGCATAAACTTGTAGAATTTAGATATATAATTCTTGCTAAATCCATTTCAAGCTGAAGAACATAGAAATAAATAAATCAGAAGTACATTTTTCGCTTTTTTACAAGCATGTTAATGCACAACAAAAAAAAATTGAAACGTTATAATTAATGTTTGAACACTAATTTTTTCATTTCATAGATTTCAGGTCTAAGCTGAGCCATTTTCAAAAATGTCTGTTACTGTCTCTAGGATAAAAAAATACTTAGTGAAATAGAAAATAATAATTTGTTTATTTTTCCAAAAAATGTTTTTTTTGATAGTTTCATTTAATGGGGAAATAAAGTGTCAATTGGAAAGAGGTAATAGGCCTACGTGTGCCCAAAAGTGTCTTACGTGTGCCTGACTCTTTAAAAAAATATGAATTTTTAGTTTTACTGATGTTTTTACCCCAGAATGATATCTAGGACTAAATTGAAAAATTCTATTGAGCATACTTACAACAAGTCCAGTTCATTTTACGTACACACGGATTTGTTATTTCGCGGATTTGTTATTTATGTTCATGGATTTCTTCTTTAAGGTCTTAAATAAACATTGGAACAGTATGATATCTAGGACTAAATTGAAAAATTCTATTGAGCATACCAACAACAAGTCCAGTTCATTTTACGTACACACGGGTTTGTTATTTCGCGGATTTGTTATTTATGTTCATGGATTTCTTCTTTAAGGTCTTAAATAAACATTGGAACTTAATTTACACTCACCTATGAATGTTATTCTTGAAGTAAAATTACCCCCCCCCCTCTCCCGGACTTTAAAGGGATTGAAATTAATTACTTAAGTGGAAATCTATACTTTTCACTTTTCTCTCAAATTACGTAATTCCGAAAAAACTTTCGCACAAGTATAAACACATGTATTTGAATATAAATAATAAATATACCTGTCCTTCTCAGTTTGAATAAGTTGAAGAATTTGTTGCTGATGCAACAAGTTTTCTTCTTCCTTCCGCCTCATATTCTCTTGATTTTCCGCCTCTCTTCTTTCCATCTCTTCCAGGCTCCGCCGTTGTTCCGCCTCAGTCTCGCTTTTTTCCACCTTCATTTTCTCCATCTCGGCCTCTAGTCGGAGTTTTTCCATCTCCAGCTTTTTCCTTTGTTCCTCTATTTCTGTGGCTAATCGTTCTCTCTCTGCTTTTTCCTTTGAGTCAACTATTGGCGGAGATTTAGAAAATTTTATTCGTTTCTGTGGTGGCGGAAGCATGTCAGCAGAACGCTTTACAGATTCATTGACTACTCTATCAGTTGTCGAGTTATTGTATTGTTCTGCTGCTCCCATATCTATATTCTCCTAGCAACCAAAAAAACTACCTTAAATTGGTGAACAAAACTTATTTATTGAGCCCTTATGTGTTAAAAAATACACATATTAATGATGATGATGATTGGATAATAAATAGTTAAACTTTATTCATATTTAGGGTCTGTCCTATTGAACGATTTTTGGACCCCCCCCCCCCCAACCCCCACTCCTATCAATTTTGTACATGACCATTTATTTTTCAGCAAATTTATTATTATTTATTTTTTTGTTATTTAGGGTTAGGTTAGGTTAAGACACTTTTTGGGCCGAGCGCTGCGGCTAGGATGGGCTAGGGGGCCGAGCGCTGCGACCACGGGTTAGGTTAGTTAAGACTCTTTCTGGGCCGAGCGCTGCGGCTAGGACAGGCTAGGGGGCCGAGCGCTGCGGCCACGGGTTAGGTTAAGTTAAGACACTTCCTGTCAGACCCATGTACAAAATTGATAGGGGGGGGGGGGGGGGCTGGGGGGTCCAAAAATCGTTCTCTAGGAATATACCCATATTTATCACCTTGACATGTTTAAGACTTTAATAGGTTTATTCTAACGACCTGCAAACACTCATTCCTCAGAAATCATATTTTAAATAAATTTGAAAAAAGCGAAGCAAAAATATTCTGTAAAAGGTAGTTTCCTTGTCTGTATAGCTAACAAATCTCCAGTTATATTTATCAATCTGATCTGACAAAATAATCTTATCCTATAGTCATATTCATTTATCGAATAAATTTCACGTTTTGAACATTAAAAAAAACTAAAAGAGTAATAAATGAATGAGTATTCGGAAAAATGTAAATAATCAAAACAAATATTTTAGAAAACAAAAATAAAAATAACAATAATATTAAACAATCACCCTGTATTCAGTAGAAACCTTCAAAAATGACTGCCCAAGGACGGAAAATAATTTCTAGCTAAAAAATGACACAAATCTAGTGTGTACCATCATAAGACCCTTTTCTAGGTTTAACTAATTTTGCTTCCATTTCTCTGTCCAAGAAACCTTTTTCTAAGAACAAAACCAGCGAAAGAGAAAATTACAAAAGTTCAGTAGGATTTGAATGATTCCGTGATTGTCGAACTAGACTATTTTAATGGATAAGTACCATAAACGATTCATGGCAGGTTGATTTAAATCGACGCCCGAATTACTTTGATTGTCTCATTAATGATAAAATGCAAAGATAGAAGATTTCTGAATGAATTGATGCCTTGAAGTTTAATCTAGTCTCAACTCCTTTAACTATACGTTTTCCGTTTATCCTGAACAAATCAAAGTCAAATCAAATAATAAGTTGCAGGGGTGGCCTAAGACTCCAGTAGTGGATTGGAGTTTCAAGTCCTCCCCCCATTCCTGGTTTTTCAGTCCGACCTTCTGTTATAAGATAAATATACTTTTTTATTTTACTCTTTTTTACGTTGTATTTGCGAAGCGCCCAGCCATACCACCAAATTTGAGCCATGCCCCACTTTAGAATACCTAACATCCAAGGATTGCTAAATATTTTGTTAAGTTTGGATGTTGGGTGTTTCCCTGGCGAGTTTTTCCGTTCTTTTTTTTTATAATTCTTAACTGCTAATTTTAATAATCATGTTTGGTTTCTAGTTTTATTAATTACTTCATCTCTGATCATTCTAGTTTAGTTTTAATTAGATCGTTTGTTTGGATAATAAGGTTAGTTTCTAAAAGTCGTTGTTAATCAAAATTGACGATAAGCTCCAAGTTAATTAAAAGTAAAAGGGTAAATATTTTCTAGAAAAAAGGATGCCCAGCCCCCCTAATCAAAATATATTATTAGGATATTATTTAAAACTAGCTGAAGGGCCCAACATTGCGCCTGAAATTTTTTTTGTCTATGTCACCCCCCAGCTACCAATGAGTGTCGACAAAATTTTTAGCCCATTCGATCCAGCCGTTTGGCTGCCTATAGGGAACATATATACGAATGTCTTGTTTTATTTGATAGATATCAAAGAGAGAGAAATAAATTGCAATTAAACATCACTTTTCATTTTCGACACTTTAAAAAAAATACAACTATGAGCTTACTTAAAATTCATGTATTTTCGTCAAATCTCAAAATGAACAATAAAAACCTACTGGATAACACAATTTTTTGGATAATTTATTTCCATGGAAATATATAATCCCCTCCCTGAACTCCATCTACCTGATACCATTAGAGCTAAGATCAGTGATGAACCAGGAGTTCTCCTTGAACCTGAACAAGGCCTGCTCCCTCGAGATGTTTATGTCCTGAACAAATATAAAAAATCAAAACGTTGTTTTTTCAAGTATGGTAATTTTTTAGTTGCTTTCAATCATTGCTCCTCCTAAAAATATCCCCCCCATCCCTTATTTTTTTCAAAAAATATTGGGTATTTGACTCTTTACCTAGTCCTTAAAAGAAAATAATAAATGAGTAGAAAATATATGTTCTTTTTTCTACGGGAAATGCAATAATTCGTTAAGTTAAATCTATATGGTCAATAATTTTTTTTTAAATTAAAAGATTATCCATAATCTAATAATAGGGAACTTGCAGGAAATACAATCAAGAAATATCTCAAATTCTTGAGGACAGGACACTCTTAGAAGTATAGAACCATTGGACTTGAATCGTTAAATACGAACCAACTAACAATTGTCAGTGTTCAAACCCGGCTCACATCTAACTAAACCTCTTTTTTCCTTGCAAAAGTGTTGAAAAATTAGCTGACTGTCTGTTATTTGTTTAACTGAAGCGAATGAGTAGATTTCTAACTCGAGAGAAAAGAATAAGATGAACCTTGATTAGAAGATTTCAAACTTAAGAGAAAAGAATAAGATGAACCTTGATTAGAAGATTTCTAACTCAAGAGAAAAGAATAAGATGAACCTTGATGAGAAGATTTCAAACTCAAGAGAAAAGAATAAGATGTACCTTGATTAGAAGATTTCAAACTCAAGAGAAGAGATTAAGATGTACCTTGATTAGAAGATTTCAAGAGAAAAGAATAAGATGTACCTTGATTAGAAGATTTCTAACTCAAGAGAAAAGAATAAGATTTACCTTGATTAGAAGATTTCTAACTCAAGAGAAAAGAATAAGATGTACCTTGATTAGAAGATTTCTAACTCAAGAGAAGAGAATAAGATGAACCGTGATGAGAAGATTACCTTCAAGAGAAGAGAAGAAGATGTACCTTGATTAGAAGATTACCTTCAAGAGAAGAGAATAAGATGTACCTTGATTAGAAGATTACCTTCAAGAGAAGAGAATAAGATGAACCTTGATTAGAAGATTTCAAACTCAAGAGAAAAAAAATAAGATGTACCTTGATTAGAAGATTTCTAACTCAAGAGAAAAGAATAAGATGTACCTTGATTAGAAGATTTCTAACTCAAAAGAAAAGAATAAGATGTACCTTGATTAGAAGATTTCTAACTCAAGAGAAAAGAGGTACCTTGATTAGAAGATTAGCTTCAAGAGATCTTCCAACCCTGAATTCCTTTTCCAAGATCTCTATATTTCTGTGACTGAAAAAATGTCTAATTAACTAAATCTCATTGAAACCGGTTCAGACAGGATTTTTAATTTTATTTTTAGCTGATTTGAAAACTTTTTAATGTACGAAATAAGCTTAACTCAATCTTTAGGAGGATAGACATAAAACGATCAAATATCCCTTAATTTTTACTAATTTAGAGATCTATTAAACTTGCTGGTGTCTCAGGAGATATGACTAATCAGAAATAAGAAAAACTTTTCATAAAGATACAAAAAATTCAATCCTCATTCATAAGTTCAGTGACCGAACCGGTAGTAGGCGGTTAAAATTCATTAAATTGGGTATTTTATTAACTTCCTCTTAGTTGGCATTATAAATCTAATTTATTTAATTTTTTCCAATCATGCGAATTTTACTTTTACCTTGCCTCCATTGCTGGAGCTAGGCCGACCAATCTGGCCTGAAACCCCTCCTCCCCCTCCATTTTCCACAAACTCTGAAATTTACACATTGTGATTAAAAACTGCAATCAATTAAATATTTTGAAATTTATACATAATTTAAAGATGTTCTAAAATTTTGCAAACATCAAGATTAAATGCAATACTAGCATGGCACTTGGATAAGTAGATATCTTGGGACTATACTATTGACTATAGTTTAAGACATCAAGCTCTGTTTGAAGGCTGTCTGTTTAGTGTCCTTGGATCGGATGTTGAGGTGGTGTTAGAAGGTGGAATCACTTTAGGGGAAGGATGGAGTCGTTGTTCAGTGGAAGGATGGAGTCGGTGTTTAGTGGAAGGGTGGAGTCAGTGTTCAGTAGAAGGGTGGAGTCGTTGTAAAAAGGTTGGGTGGAGTCGCTGTTCAGGGGAAGGATGGAGTCGGTGTTTAGTGGAAGGGTGGAGTCAGTGTTCAGTAGAAGGGTGGAGTCATTATTCAGTGAGAGGGTGCAGTCAATGTTCAGTAGAAGGGTGGAGTCGCTTTTCAGAGATAGGATATAGTCGTTGTTAAAAGGTTGGATGGAGTCGTTGTTCAGTTGAAAGATGGAGTCGTAGTTCTGGGGAAGTGTTGAATAACTGTTCAGGGGAAGGATGGAGTCATTTTTCATGGGTTGGGTAGAGGCCTTTTGTAGTGGAAGGATGGAGTCGTTTTTCAGTGGAAGGGTGAAGTCGTTGTTCAGATGAAGGGTGGAGTAGTTGTTCAGTGGAAGGATGAAGTCGTTGTTCAGTGGAAGGGTGGAGTCGTTAATCAGTGGAAGGGTGGAGTCATTGCTCAGTGGAAGGGTGGAGTCGTTGTTCAATGGAAGGGTGGAGTAGTTGTTCAGTGGAAGGATGAAGTCGTTGTTCAGTGGAAGGGTGGAGTCGTTAATCAGTGGAAGGATGGAGTCATTGCTCAGAGGAAGGGTGGAGTCGTGGTTCAGTGACAGGATTGAGTCGTTGGGCAATTGAATGGTAAAGCATTTGTTTAGATTTATGGATGAACATTGAACTGTTTATGTCAACAAATCTCTCTTACATCCTTGAGTGATCCTGAAAATAAATTTTTTATCATCTTTTGATTCAATTATATTAAATCTTGTATCCTGAAATACAATAATAAGATTTAGGCGTGTATTTACTCTTGAAAAATCATTTAACCCCCTCCCTCTTTTTAAATAATTAAAATCATTTCTTCATGGTTTTATTCGCAGAAATTGGGTGGGGAGGGGGGGGGGGGAGGAGATTACTTGCCATTTGATGTTCGATTTTAAAATGTTTCTGCGTAGATTTTTATTTCTCCTTTGAAAATATACGCCCCAGATATGATTATGAAAATGATTCCTTTGAAAATATACGCCCCAGATATGATTATGAAAAGGATTCCTTTAAAAATATACATCCCTGATATTATTATAAAAATGATTCCTTTAAAATATATACCCTTGATATGATTATGAAAATGATTCCTTTAAAAATATACACCCCTGATATGATTATGAAAATGATTCCTTTAAAAATAAACACCCCTGATATGATTATGAAAATGATTCCTTTAAAAATATACGCCTCTGATATGATTATGAAAATGATTCCTTTAAAAATATACACCCTTGATGATCATGAAAATGATTCGTTTAAAAATACACTCACCTGATATGATTATGAAAATGATTCCTTTAAAAATATACACCCTTGATATGATTATGAAAATGATTTCTTTATAAATATACACCCCTGATATGATTATGAAAATGATTTCTTTAAAATTATACATCCCTGATATAATTTTGAAAAATGATTATGTCCTTCTAATTAATTAACTCCATTCATTTCACCTGCATGACACCCTCTACATGAAGTCCTCCGCGGCAATGATCACGAACCCAACCAGGAACCCAGAGAATATCATCATTGCTAGAACCTCCATCATTAAATCTTATATTTTTCACCTGAAATATCAGAATGGGTTCTTCGGCGTAAAGAAATACAGACAAAATAATTTGTTATTAGTGCTGGAATCTTTAAATGGACAAAATTGGTTAAAACTAATAAGCTTCTCATGGAGAAATTAACCCATCTGAAAAAAATTCAAGTTCACTATTTTTAGCACCATGAATTTCGAGGAATAAATCAAATCTCCCAACCACAGTGAAAATACTTAACGAAAGTAACATTAAATTTTATGTAATTCAATGGAGTAAGATCAAATAATCCGTAATTACGTAAACCATACTAAACAAAAGATAATTTCCCCCATCTTAAGTTTAGAATTTTAGTAAAGTAAAGAAAAACGTTAACCATGTTTATCATACAAAAGTGAATATAATGGAATTTAAATTAGTGGAGAGTGTTTATAAGAAATACTCAGTATTTACGAAAACCATAACGTAAAAGGGTTTCTAAACTAAATATGAACAGTTAATTAATCAGCTTATCTAAATTATGTTAAATCCTGTGCCTAATTGCGTAAAAAGATTATCATTTTTTGTCAATTTTTTTTATCGCATAGAAGCTACATAAAAGATTTGAATGAAGAAAGTGTATTACGAGTATAGTATCCAGGCGCGTATTGGGGGGACAGTCCTCTTTCCCCCCCCCCCCCCGGATGAATGGGAATATTGGTTAAAATCAGATGTGGTGGAGTTTTCCCATTAGAAAGTTGTTAAATATTTTCTCTGCGCTTCGCGCCCTTTATTTTCACATTTTACTATAAATATTTCCCTTGGCTAAAATCCTGTATACGCGCCTGTTAGTACCTCTATCTACCTTATCATGAACTATTACCAATTTAAAGACATTTGAGTGTACGTTAATTTATGTATTGTGGTAGGCAACAAAAATCATATACTCGTGAATTGAATGACAATTAAGGCACTATCCTAAATTCCTCATTTTTAACATTTTAATGTCTAAAATCTGAAAAATAAAACGTCCAGTATAACTTCATTTTTTTAACGAAAATATATATACAAAGTGCGTTTACCCCTGTTTAAGGGAGGTAAGAAACACGACTGTACACTAGGAGCCTCAACCCCAAACTTCATCAATCATTCAATCAGAACTGTTTCACAAGAAAAAATAACTTGGTAATTTCCTAGTATACGATTTTTGGACCCCCCCCCCCTCCTATCAATTTTGTACATGGGTCTGACAGGAAGTGTCTTAACCTATCCTAACCTGTGGCTGCAGCGCTCGGTCCCCTAGCCTGTCCTAGCCGCAGCGCTCGGCCCAGAAAGTGTCTTAACTAACCTAACCCGTGGCCGCAGCGCTCGGCCCCTAGCCCATCCTAGCCGCAGCGCTCGGCCCAGAAATTGTCTTAACCTAACCTAACCCTAAATAACAAAAAATAAATAATAATAAACTTGCTGAAAAATAAATGGTCATGTACAAAATTGATAGGAGGGGGGGGGGGGGCAGGGGGGGGTCCAAAAATCGTATACTAGGACAGACCCAATAACTTGACAAAAATCCCCTTCACATGGAAATTTTAATAAACTCTCTTCTTATCCATCCTCAAATAAATGGGCAGAGGGGGGGGGGGGGTTAAAATATATAAATGTTTTAAATTTAAAAACCTTTTTATCAGCCCCCCACCCCCCAAACAAAAACCTTCATAATTTCCCAAAAGGAAACATTATTAAATGTAATTAATAACATTGTATAATAATTCATTATTTAGTATTTAATTACAGAATAAATAAAGATTATAATACAAGTAAAATCACAGGGTTATTATACTTAGGATCAATTTAAGAATTAAAGCAATACGGGGGGAGGAAAAAATTAATCACAAACTAAAGACGACAATCAATTAAACTGATAACAGTCGCATTCGTACACAGCGTGGTTGAAGAATTAAAAATTGTATTTTATGTATTAAAAATATCTATTTAAAAGTGTAAGAAAGCGAGAGGGGATATTTGTATACATCTATATAATCCTATTCGTTGTACAGATGTACATTGTACAATCTGCAATGTTATAAGGTATACCGTGTACACTATAAATTGTACAATGACTTGTAGACAACGCTACATAGAAAGAATATCTATAAAACATGTAACATTTATAAATTTAAAAATTATATTTGAAAATGCAAATTCCCAATTCTGATAAACCTGATATGGACCCTTGTGCAATAGATAATAAAAGATTTAGAATTCAGAAAGTAGAAAATCCCGAAGAAATAAAAAAACTTATATTCTGTCCGCATCATATTTTCAGTAAAAGCAAAATAAAATTTTTAGGATAAATGAACTTATTTCGCTTGTTCTAAACTATTGATGGATTGATAATTATTATCGGATTCTGGAAGATGACAATTTTCAGCCAGAAAACCAATTTTATCATGAACAATTAGAATTAATTATCCTAAATCAGGTGGGAGATTTCAACAACAACTGCGGTCAAACAAATCCAATTTTTGTCTATGAATCAGCTCCAACTATTGCCAGTTCTGCTGTTTCTTGATAATGAAAGGCTGATCTTATTTTCATTTCCACTTGTTTGAAAAAAATTATCAGCAGCCAACACTTCCAAATCAGTTTTTCCAAATGAAATTCAAGTTTTATGATATAAACAGTCATATGACCGTTAGTAACACAATAACGACATTTAACGACACCGACGCTGCTGTTTGTCTCATATTTTGACTAGAGCAGCTTTTCCTTCTGATTCATGAACTTTGCTGCTCTCATGTTTCCACAATTGTTTAGTATCTGGACCCAGGCTGCTGTTGCTGAAACAAAAATAAAAATAAAGGTTTGATTTGGTTTGGATATCACCTAGCAGGGGCATATAATATATATTTTGTACAAAATATTCACTTTCTTAACAAATTATTTTAGCCCCGGCTTGTTTGCACAGAACGAATATTTTTATTTTTTTTCCCCCAGGTAAAATATGGGAAATTAACACAGAAAGTACTTACTACCTGTTCAGTGGAAACAAATGATTTTTTGAGTAAAAATATAAAACAAATCTATTTAACCAATTATTATTGATTTACAGTTTTTCGTCTTTGCTTTTTGTCATGCTTTTCAGCCATAAATCTTTGGCAGGTGTTAAAATCGTGAATGTTTAAACGAAAAAAAAACACTGCCCATCTCTATTAATACCTGTCCTTGTCCTGAGAATGTATTCCTGACCCCGGCGGCAGCGGCCTGAGCGGCGGCATTCCTAACTCCCTCGTTGTTCATGACAGTGCTGGTGAACTCAGCCTGAGCCTTGATGAAGCTGGCCCCGGTAGCTCTGTACAACCCGTGGATCTACATAAATTAATGATTTGAATTTTTATGAACTAAGAAATTATAAACCTTGTTTTTGTAGGATCCTGGTAGTAAAGAATCAATCAAGATCACAGAAAAAAATATCTACTCATCAGACTTTATTAAAATTTTGATAAGTAGGAAAAAAATCCGAGAAAATAATTTTTAGGAGAAATCAACTTTTAACTTCATCTTTAAAAATGAAAGTAAACTGACAAAAATTCAAAAAACCTGGTCTTTCAAAAAATAAACCAAGCCTCACTTTTTACCAGAGGTGTACATTTTCTAGAAAACTTATTCCCACCCCCCTTTAAAATCATTTTTTGGGATTTGTTCAGGGAGTTAATGATTTTCAGGGGAAATTAATTTAATGCGGTATTAATTATAAAGAATAAAAAACTTGCCTTTTGAGGTTTATTTTTCATTTTTCCTCCAAATCATCAAAAACCAGACCCCCCCCCCCCCCTAGCAAGGTGTATTTCTTAAAAATATAACCCCTGTTTTATACCTTGGTCAACATGAAGAAATCCGCAAGAGCGACAGCACAGAATCCTAGCGCGGCAAACAGCACAACAACACCGACGAAGTAGTCTCCGCCGGTAGCGTCTTTGTTTTGGAAGGTCACAATACAGGTGATGAGTCCACTATAATTAATAACATTTTTTTAATCAGATTACGATTATGTATTAGACAGTGTTTTAAATTGCAAATTCCATTTAATGTAATGCTTATCCGGATCCTGAATTTGACCGGTAAAAAACCTGGATCCGGATCCTAATGATAAATCTTTTTCCAAATTGAACGGATTTCATAAAAAAAATGCATCCTTTAATAAAATAACGACAAAAACCTAGTAAAACCCTATTCTCTTCAGGATAACTTAAAGTTAGAAACTAGTTCGGAGAAAAAAAAAAAAAAATACTAATATTATTTGAAACAATACTTTAACACTTACTTAACAACTGATAACCAAATACAAAACGACAAATTTAACTAACCTTCCTCCTGAGCCTTTGATCCCCAGAGCCATGATGAGGGAGAAACAGAACTGACAGAAGAATATGAAGAAGAAGACCATGAAGTTGAACGAGGAATCAGAACGAAATGCCTAAAAGTAAAGAATGACACAATTATTCAATATATTTTTTTTGAATTTACTAATTTACTCATTAAATGTAATTTAATTTTTTCTTCTTAGTTCTGACATATTTAAATTATATTTATTGTAAATGTATATTGTATAATATATATATACATATATATATACAGGGTGAGTCAAAAAAAGTGTGATTTGCGGCGCCTGGTGCAAAATTGTACCTTTTGTTGTGCAACTCTCCTGTATGGTGTCTTTTCAATATTTTCTGAAAATTTGTAATTTTTTTTGGTACTCCAATGGCCTAAAAGAAAATCCGCGAATCTTTTTTTTCTCTCAAAATCAAAAGTTCAGAAAAGCTAAAATATGAATTCATATTATTTCTCTCTATATCTAAAATTTTGTTAACATTGAATCCCAGAATCAAAGAAAATTGGCAAAATTGTAATAATAAAATTCGCAATTTTCAGTTCTGGGCTAATTTTTAAGCAAAAGTTATTTAAATTCTCTAGTTCCTTTCTTCTTAGTATATTCTAAAGTAAAAAATATACGCTGTTCAGTTGAAACCTTAAGAACCATTGAAAAACAATTTTTCCGTAAAAATTTTACCAGAACTGAAAATTGCGAATTTTCTAATTACAATTTTGCAAATTTTTCTGTTTTTCGGTGATTCAATCTTTTTAAAATTTTAGATTTCGATAGAAACAATTAATTTACACATTTTTGTTTTTCTGAACTTTTGATTTTGAAAGAAATAAGGTTGGCGGATTTTTTTGGGGCATTGAACCAAAAACAATACAAATTTTCAAAAAATATTAAAAAACACCATACAGAAGAGTTGCACAAAAAAGTTACACTTTTGCACCAGGCGCCGCAAATCACACTTTATTTTGATTCACCCTGTATATATATATAAGAAATTTTTATTTTAAAACAATTCCTGCTATTGACCACAAAATAAGAAAATGTACTTTGTAAGTTGCGTAAACTCTGAAATGTGTTATCTTTCGTAAATATATAGATAGATAGATGGATAGACAGGTGGATTATCATTAGAATTTAGAATGTGCATAACAAACATTCTCATGCAATGTCCATGTGATACATATTTCTTGATTAGTAACTTCCATAACTTTCTATTTTCCCAAGTTTTACGCCAAAACCTTACCTTCTATAATTTACATATATTCAAATATAAGATAAGATAAGGGAAGGATCTATCAAATGGTTTGTTTGGATCAAATTAACGTCAAAACGTGTGAAGCTGAACCGATCCAGATCACATATATTCAGGGATCTCAATTTTCTCTTCAAACTTTTTTTCTCCAATTTTAATTATTTAAAAAATCAAGCAAACAAGAGAAAATGTGCTAATTTTGTTTGTTTTATTTTGCAAGTAAAAATGGTCGAGAATGAAACAAATATTTATAACAAAACTTTGCATTTGATTAAGAGGCACGAAGCACCAGTGTTTAATAAATTTACCTTGTAGGCTGGTCTGAACCAGCAGAGGTATGAGAGTGGGATGAAGAAGATTGCGTAGACCAGGGATAAACCGAAGGTTGACCCAGTTGCGTCGTTTCCTAGAGATAAATCATGGATAACCGGCTACAAAGGATGTACTTTTTACCAAGGTCGGTCATCTATTTTTTCTTGAAGTATAAATTTTCTCCCCAAATGTTAGAAATGTTCGTCACGCAAAACTTTTTTACGGGTTCTTATCGATAAATAGGGTAAAATGCACGAATTGTAAGCTTTTAAACAGATCAAAATTAATGTATCAAGAAGAGTGAAAAAATCTTGCAATTTAATGTCAGTTTTTTTATTTTTTTTTTCTCAGGGCATCAATAATCATTCCTCTTTCCCCTATGCAGGAGAGGGGGTTATTTCGTGAAAATGTATATCCATGTATTTTCCAGAATTATGATTTTTTTTATTAAATTACCTCAAATCTTTTCTTTATTACATTATAAACCTATAAATTAAGTCGTTTATGTTTTCTTTTGACATTGAGAGCCCAGAACTCAGACTTGACTTTAACTTTGAAGAATGCGAATTGCTTAAAAAACAAGACGATATTGATTCTTTGTAAAAAGATATTGAACAAAAGAAAATTCAAATAAAAAACTTTTAATTTAATTTACATAAATTGCACAATCGTACCACTGAATAGTAGGCAGGTACCAGCCACCAGGTTGTACAGCATCAGTAGGGCGTGGACTACAAGTACAGGAGCATTATTAAAGTATATTGAGGGGGGGGGGGGCAGGATCAGTAGTGCGTGGACTACAAGTACAGCAGCAATTATTAAAGTAAATTGAGAAAAAGAGAGGGGGGGGGGGGATGGGTTGAAAACTAAACCATTGAAATGAACAGACCGATGAAATTAATAAGATTCAAAAGAAAATCAAATGCCCATTAAAATTCTGACAGGAAAAAGACCATTTTGGTCAACCAAACCCAATTTATAAAAGTTTTAGTAAACGTCCCTGATTTCATATTTAGAGAATATTAACCCTAGAATATTTGAACGCATTAAACATTTAATATTTATTTGTTTAATTGCTTTGAGCTAGTTACATGAAAAAGGAAAACAAACGTAGTTTCTCTGATATTCTGATATAAATATTTTTATCAAAGAAATTTTAAACCAGTAGAACAGTTTGTTTCCATAAATATGTAATGAAAAAGATTTTTAAACCTTAAAAGCATTCTGTTTTTAGCGAATAAAGTATTTATGAACTATTAAATTTCCTTTGGATGATACAGAAACATCAATAAATCTGTGTGTAAAATATCTATTTTTAATCAAGCCAACCCCACCCCCCAACCCTCACCTTACACATTTAAATTACGACCAACAATGCGAGTAAATTATCCCTATTGAAATATCAAAATCTCAAGGGTATAATTAGTGAATAAGTTTAGGGATTTGCATTTAATTGGGAATACAAGTTAACTTACAAAGCCAGAGATAGTAGAGACGCTTCACCATTTCTTGGAATTCTACAGGGATATCCACATTTATATCCTAGATAATTGTATACAGGGATATCCACATTTATATCCTAGATAAATATATACAGGAATATCCACATTTATATCATAGATAAATATATACAGGAATATCCACATTTATATCCTAGATAAATATATACAGGAATATCCACATTTATATCATAAATAAATATATACAGGAATATCCACATTTATATCCTAGATAAATATATACAGGAATATCCACATTTATATCCTAGATAAATATATACAGGGATATCCACATTTATATCCTAGATAAATATATACAGGGATATCCACATTTATATCCTAGATAAATATATATATGATATGGATATCCACATCAACATATATTGGGATATCCACATTAATATCCTCTTACTGAGTGTTTCAGTAGAAAACTCTTCAAATACAAAAGCTATAAAGCAGTGCTTAGGTTCTGATCTACTTTTATGCAAAGTCAGATTTAGGACCCAACCATATAATAAGAACTAAACAAAGTTATGAGACAACATTAATATATCGAATCGAATCGAATCGAATCGAATCGAATCGAATCGAATCGAATCGAATCACCCCCCCCCCCCCCCCCACCGAAAAAAATGGTTGCGTGCAAAAATATAACTGATATTTAATCTGAGTTTTCCTTGCGTTGTAGGATGAATTCTTTAATTCTTCTTCTCTTCTTGCCAGCTCGGCGGCTTTCCTTTCCAATTCTTCCTGTCTCCTCTATATATTTATTCATTTATACATTTATAAACTAATTCATTTATTCATCAATTCATTAATCTAATTGTTCATTTATACTAATTCATTTATTCATTAATTCATTAATCTAATTGTTCATTTTTACTAATTCATTTATTCATTAATCTAATTGTTCGTTAATCTATTTACTCATACATTTATGCATTCATTTATTTATTTATTAATTTATATATTTATACATTTGGTCATTTATTCATTTATTTATCAAATAATAATTAAGTTATACATTATTTTTTTTATTTATTTTACTTTTTTATTCATTTTTCTCCCTACCCCTCAACACATTTATTCATTAATTTATATATTTATTTTTCTTATTTATTTTATCTATCGAAGACGTAATAAGAAAAGTGTTTAACAGAGTTCTATAAAAATTTACCTTTAGTTCCTGGCATAGCATAAAATGTTAGTATTGATCAAAAAGATGAGTTAAAATATTATAGGCAACATGAGATTTTATGGGATAAAAATGGGAACAAATGGAAAACCCCTGGGAACATGGAAAACAAATGAAAATATTGTAAACAAATGAGAACATGAGAAACAAATGGGAACATGGGAAACAAATGGAAACAAGGGAAACAAATGGTAACCAGGAAAACTAATGGAACATGGGAAACAATGGGCACATGGGAAACAAATGAAAAATGTGAAACAAATGGGAACATGGAAAACAAATGAGAATGTAAGAATCAAATGGAAACTAGGGAAACAAAAAAGAACATTGAAAACAAATGAAAACATGGGGAAAAAATGGTAACATGAGAAACAAATGAGAATGACATGGCAAAGAAATAAAATCTTTTCATAAATGAATATGCACACAAAATTACATTACAAACAATTAGACACCTGGAAATCTGCAGTAGTGGCAGTCTGCTGTGCTGTTTGACTGTAGGCAGGAGGAGCAGGTTCAGTTGTTGGAGACATAACAGCGGGCCCGACAGAGCCTTAAAATAACATAACTATAGAAGGTTTTAAAATAACAAATGGCCCGATCCTTAACTATAATTTATAAAATGTTAACATAACAGCGGGCCTGAAAGATCTTTTATCAGAAAAAAGTGTAGAATGTTAACATCACAGCGAGCCCGACAAAACCTTTAATTAACATAAATGTGTAGAATGTTAACAGCGGGCCCGACAGATCCTTTGATAAACATAACTGTATAGAATGATAACTTGACAGCGGGCCCGACAGATCTATAAATAAAAATAACTGGGTAGAATGTTACTTGACAGCTAGCCCGACAGATCCTTTAATATACACATAAGACTGTAGAATGCTAACATGACAGCGAGCCCGACAGGCAACAGAGCAGAAAAATGTACCATCTGTCCCAAACGTACTTTTCTGTTCCTATAATTACTTCCTGTCGATATTATGATATACTGTATTGTCTTTAAGCACTGATGTTGTCCATGTCACATTAGTTAATGTCTGTCTCGTCTGTCACAATTGAAATTACTATTTTCTACCTGTCCCGGCTGTGGTAGTTGTCTGCTGTTTCCCAAACGGATCATAGTTGTCGAGTGTAGCTGTCGGTTGTCCATTGTTAGCTGTTGCAGCTTGAACAGATGGATCCTAAGATGACAGATGTGGAGAACATACAGCTATTGTAAATTCGACTTTCTTCAAAAAGTAATGAACTTTCAAAAAAAACCTTTAGTAACAAAAAAGCACCATTTTGTTACTGAAGTTTAACAAATTTACTTACCGCAAACGGATTATCGTCGAAAGCAGACATTCTCTAAATCAGTGAAATATAATTTTATATTTTTCTTAAACTTCTGAAAACGTATTCTACAATTAAACCATAAATTAATGGAAAATAAACATTGCTTCACTTGAAACCCCTGAAGAATGATTCAAGAATGAATCATATCAAATTAAGTGGAAAATATTTTCGATCAGCATACACAAAATAACTCCCGGCAGAGCGCACTGCAGTGTCAACACTGTACACTTGTGAAAGGAGGTAGAGAGTTGGAAGGAGGGGAAGGGGGGATGCCGGATGGGGGAAGGGATAGTGGTCTTATTTTTGAAGAATTAAAGGTTGTGAATTATTTTACAAAAGTCAGATTATTTTTTTTATCACGTAGTGATTTTGAATACAAAAGAAATGCAAAAATAAATGTTGTAACAAGACGACATTTAATATTTCACAGACGACTTTCGATTGCGACGTTTAAATTTAATCATACAAATGAAGCACAAGAAAAGAGAAAACAAAATGGGCTGATGCGTTGCGTTATTTAAGTAAAAAGTTATTTATTAATTGTCTAATTCATAAAACAGAAAACTATGGATTTTATGGAAAAATTAAATGAAATTCGTAGATCATAAGGTTTACACTTACAGAATTAAAAGAGATTCCATTACAGGTTTATAGGATGAATAGAGAAGATTAAAGGTTTACAGAATGAATAGAGAAAGAGAACTAAGGCTTACAGGATGAATAGAGAAGGAGAACTAAGGTTTACAGGATGAACAGAGAAGGAGAACCTCAGAATATATATATTCTGAGAGGAGAACCAAGGTTTATAGGATGAATAGAGAAGAAAAAAGGTTTACAGAATGAATAGAGAAAGAGAACTAAGGCTTACAAAATGAATAGAGAAGAAGAACCAAGGTTTACAGGATGAATAGACACAGTACTAAGGTTTACAAGATGAAAAAAGAAAGAGAAAAAAGGTTTACAGGTTGATAAGAGAAGGAGAAATAAGGTTTATAGATTGAAAAGAGAAGGAGTAACTAAGGTTTACAAGATGAAAAGAGAACGAGAACTAAGGTTTACAGGATGAATAGAGAAGGAGAACAAAGGTTTACAGGATGAATGAATAGAGAAGGAGAACAACGGTTTACAGGATGAATAGAAAAGGAGAACAAAGGTTTACAGGATGAATAGAGAAGGAGAACAAAGGTTTACAGGATGAATAGAGAAGGAGAACAAAGGTGAAGAGAGAAGGAGAAACAAGGTTTACAGGATGAATGGAGAAGAAGAACTAAAATTTACAGGATGGATAGAGAAGAACAAAGGTTTATAGGATGAATAGAGAAGGAGAACAAAGGTTTACAGGATGAATAGAGAAGGAGAAACAAGGTTTACAGGATGAATAGAGAAGGATAACAAAGGTTTACAGGATGAATAGAGAAGAAGAACAAAGGTTTACAGGATGAATAGAGAAGGAGAACAAAGGTTTACAGGATGAATAGAGAAGGAGAACAAAGGTTTACAGGATGAATAGAAAAGGAGTACTAAGGTTTACAGGATTTATAGAGAAGAAGAACTATAAGGTTTACAGGATGAATAGAGAAGGAGTACTAAGGTTTACAGGATTTATAGAGAAGAATAACTATAAGGTTTACAGGATGAATGGAGAAGGAGAATTAAGGTTTACAGGATTTATAGAGAAGAAGAACTATAAGGTTTACAGGATGAAAAGAGAAGGAGAACTAAGGTTTACAGAATTAATAGAAAAGGAGAACTAAGGTTTACTGGATGAATAGAGAAGGAGTACTAAGGTTTACAGGATTAATAGAGAAGGAGAACTAAGGTTTACAGGATGATAAGAGAAGGAAACTAAGGTTTACAGATTGAAAAGAGAAGGAGAAATAAGGTTTATAAGATTAATAGAGAAGGAGAACCAAGGTTTACAGGATGAATTGAGAAGAAGAATTAATGTTTACAGAATAAATAAAGACGGAGAACAAGGTTTACAGATGAATAGAGAAGGAGAACTAAGGTTACAGGTTGAATCGAGAAGAAGAATTAAGGTTTAACGAATTAATAAAGAAGGATAACTAAGGTTTACAGGATGAATGGAGAAGGATAACTAAGGTTTACAGGATGAATGGAGAAGAAAAACTAAAATTTACAGGATGAATAGAGAAGGAGAACAAAGGTTTACAGGATGAATAGAGAAGGAGAACAAAGGTTTACAGGATGAATAGAGAAGGAGAACCAAGGTTTACAGAATGAATAGAGAAGGTATACAGGATGGAAAAAGCAGAAGAACAATGAGTCACAGGATGAATAACTAAGGTTAACCGACTGAATAAAGAATAAGACCTAAGGTTTACAAATTATCTTTTTTCCATCTCATAATCTGAGTTCGTTTCCCTTATGTCCATTTGACAGACCAAATTTTTATTTTGAATAATCTTTTTTGTTTGTTTATCTTCTTGTTATTTTTTACATTTAAAATTTTTTTTATCGATTTTGATGGTTATTATATCGTTAGAACTGACGTTGGTCAACCCAGACCGAAATATATTTTCAATAAATGTGGAACTAACATCTACTTTTTTACTCTACAGAGGTTTGGTCCATCACTATCACCGAATTTTGAATTTACAGGATAAATAGAGAAGGAGAACCAAGGTTTATAAGACGAATAGAGACACAGAACTATGGTTTACAGGATGAATAGAGGACGGGCGGATTTTTGGTCATGTCAATTTGGTAATTATAGAGAATGAGAACAAAGGTTTACAGCATTAATAGAGAAGGAGTACTAAGGTTTACAGGATTTATAGAGAAGAAGAACTATAAGGTTTACAGGATGAATAGAGAAGGAAACTAAGGTTTACAGATTGAATAGAGAAGGAGAAATAAGGTTTATAGGATGAATAGAGAAGGAGAACCAAGGTTTACAGGATGAATTGAGAAGAAGAATTAATGTTTACAGAATAAATAAAGACGGAGAACAAGGTTTACAGATGATATAGAGAAGGAGAACTAAGGTTACAGGATGAATGGAGAAGAAGAATTAAGGTTTATAAGATGAATAGAGCAAGAGAACTATAAGGTTTACAGGATGAATAGAGAAGGAGAACCAAGGTTTACAGGATGAATAAAGCACTGCAAACTAACCAGAAGGAGAAGGTCAATTTCAATTGACATTACTGTCACAGCTTTGTGATTCCATTGCTCCTCTAGTTCTGATTTTACGCACAAGTGTAAGAAAAACTACTTTATTTGGTAACATATTATAAATTCAAACCATGTTGGTTCTTTTCAATATCTCTTCAATAAGAGAAGTTATGATAAAAAACATATAAGTTATCAATCTTACTTGCATTTTACTTAAGTTTGACGTGAAAGAAGGATAAACAAGGCATACAGAATGAATAAAGAAGGAGAACCAAGGTTTACAGGATGAATAGAGAAAAACAATGGTTTACAGGATGAATAGAGAAGAACAAAGGTTTATGGGATGAATAGAGAAGGAGAACTAAGGTTTACAGGATGAATAGAGAAGGAGAACCAAGGTTTACAGGATGAATGAAGAAGGAGAACTAAGATTTGCAGGATGAATAGAGAGGGAGAACTAAGGTTTACAGGATGAACAGAGAAGGAGAACTAAGGTTTACAGAATGAATGATGTGGTTAGAAGGCTCCACTTTGTTGGACTATCAGTTTTGTTCTTATACGCTTTTTAGAAAACTTTTATAGAGATGATTTCTGGCATGAGTTTTTTTGCAAAATATAATTTGATCTATTTAGTTAGTGAGTCCATTTTAAATTTTTTGTGAATAGGATTTTTTAAAATATTCATAAACATCATAACAGCATTTGATTTGTTATAAAACCTGCAAAAATGTTAGACTGATATAGAATAAACTATTTTGTTCATTAAATGATTAGGTTGATATTTCTCGTATGAAATTAGGCTTAAATATTTTTCTTTTGCTAAATTTAATAAAATATTTCAACGTGAACTTAAAACAAAAGATTTTTCAAGATATTCTATATTATTCGTAAGCTGATTGTTAGCAGAGTATGAACGTTAAATATTAAACAAATAAATATTTTGAGTAACCCTAACATTTATTTTTTCAAAATTTGCCGCCAAGCGTTCATCCTGATCTCTGATTGGTCAAAAACAGACTAAGTCTCCCTGATTGGTCGATTACACCGGCTAAACGCCATTATCCATCCGAATCAATTTAACAATGCATATATAGACATTGATGTATATTTATTGCTGTTTTTCATCTATTATCAAAATGATATGATAATAGGATTGCGTACATGGGAAATAGCTTTTATGTAATTTAGAATTGATAAGATGCTCTCACATCATCAGAATTCATTATATATACTTGGTTTCAAATCGCTCGAAGGAGAAATATCGAGGGGGAGGGGAGGGGGGATGGTTTGAGGAACTGAAACAAGAATAGAAATTGATGGGAAGTGGGAATGGGGAGTTGGGCGTTGGGGGAGGGAGTAGAACCGCATAGAGGAGGGAGTGCACTTCTCCATGGGTTGGGACCAGGTTAAGTGAGTTGAGTGAAACTAAGATGAAAAGGGGGAGGGCTGGG